TTAAATGTGTTAATATGTTTTATAATGTTATATCGTCACGATCATAGCACAATTGCCTAAGTCATTTTTTGGGGGTTTTTTGGAAGTTAAGAGTTGAAATATATAGCTTAAACAGTCTAATAATGTGGCAAATCGCCTTAAACCAATCAGAAAGGAGTTGATTTTTAGTTTTTTCACTTCTGCTTAAATCCGCTTTTTTACTTATATCTTATTGCTTTTGACCTATATTCTATTGTGTCTCAACGGTAATACACATATCATTTCTAAAGCAATATATGAAAGCATCTAAGTAAAAAGATGCCAAAAATAAGCCAAAGTGACGTAGCAAAAGAAATACCAAAGTTATTCATTTTTTTTTTTTTAGTTTTCTCAAAACAAGAAAAAAATTACTTAGACGATTGTGCTATGATCGTGACGATATGTTTATAGTTTGTTTCTTTGTCTATTTTATGCAGTGGTTTCAAAGTGGTTTGACTTTGCCATTGTAAAGAGCAAGTGTAATGTGTACTTATAAATATCTTATGTGCTTTTGTTGTGCGTTATCGTTGTAATATTGTTGTGATGATTTGTGTTGATAGACAGTTGGCTTACCTTCCCGTTGGTGTCTATCGTTAAAAATGATTAATTGGTAGTTCTATTCATGGAGCTTACTGTTTCTAATCATTCACTAAAAGCCAAGACAAAACATATTGTTATAAACACAATTTGTTTATATTTCAATTTGTTTTTTTTTTTATCTTTAGTGTTGTGCATAGTTCTATTCTTTAAAACATTTTTAATTTGTTTTTTAATAAATGTTAATTTTTTCGTCTTTAATAAAAGCCAGCATGAAATAATGTCATTGAACAACACCATTAAATATTGCTTCATCAAAACAGCAACTGCAGTTTGCCAAAAACAGGTTAATTGTTTTCCTGTTTTAAAAATGTTTTTCTTTTCTATTATATTTACTTATCTATTACATTTTTCTTTTAGACACCATGTGACGTATTTATGCGATACAGGAGAACACAAATAATAATTATGTTTTGTTATTAAATAATAAAGTTTTGTTAAAAAAAATATTATTAAATAAATTTGTGATTTTGTAATAAACGGAAGGGTCGGATTTTAGAAGCATGAAATATTTGAAAATTTCTGTTTAAAATGCATTTTTCATCTATGATGGAGAGACCTTTATGTAATTAACTAAAATTTAATTATGCGCACATTAAACGCTTTTAAGTTAAATAGAATTCCTTAATAAAGGAGAGGGGGTTACCAAAAAAATTAATAAGTGTCCCGTTAGACATTAGAAGTTAACATTTATATAAGTATTATAAAATTTTTTAACTGCTCCAAAAAATTTAAAGATGTTAAGGAAAATTTCAACTAAATGATAATAAAAACGCCTTCACTCTAAAAAAAATATATATCTAAAAAAAAAAAGTTTTTGTCATATTTAACAGTAACTCCCTTAAGTTAATTATTATGTCTTTTTCTAACACGGTGCCTTGGAAACACTGTCTTAGTCTCACTTAAATAAGAATTAATAAAGCGAGATAAAACCTGAATAAGTACGGAGCTCTTGCGTACTTCTTAACACTATTGATAATGACCGTCTATAAACATACTTTACGCGTTGTTTGCTGTTTTATAAAATAATTATAACTATAAGCAATGACAGCTAATAGGGAGCCGAACTTTAAATACAAATTTATCTGTAAAATTATTTACAAATAAATTTGTATTTAGATATATATTTTTAGATAACGTAGTAAGTTTTGTTGTTACTAATGGTTTAGTTATTTTTAACCCGTATTACGGGTTGCTTACTGCTAGTTCAAATAATTTTCGGAGGTTAAAAACCAAGTAATGATCATTTATTCTATTTTTGAGCATATTTGGCCCCCTGACATTTTAAACTCTTTTTTGTTTGTTAAAAAAATATATACCGTGAAATTGTTTGCCAAACTTGCGAAAAGGTCTATTGAAGATATCATTTTCGCTTCAAAATTTTGAACTTACGTACAGCAATAACTCCTTTGATATGTTGTGACCACGCCTGCAATGCAAATTCAAGATCTAGTCTGACGTAGACCATTTATAGCGTTTTCTAGAGAGATATACTGCGGATAGGAAATGTTTTTTTTTAAATACCAAGAATTCTGTTTGCTAATAAAGCTTCGGTTTGCACTTGATTACTTTGGTTTGCAGT